TGAGGAATCGTTTAGAGCTTCATGATGATGAGGAAGCTTTGATGGCTCAATTCATAGATGGGTTGCAAGAGCGAATCAGCCGAAAGGTAGAGAGACAAGTCTATCAAGATTTCAAAGATCTTTTCCATCTAGCTATACAAGCTGAACAGCATATCAAGCGGAAGTCTAGTCTCACCCGGAGCAAGCCTCAAACGCCTTGGAACCCCAACTCTAGCAAGCCTCTAGACAAGGGTAAAGGTCTTGAGATAGACTCTCGGTACAAAGGGAAAGCTGCTGAACCACCCAAAGACAACCACCCCGAAGCAGGTAAGCATACTAACCCTCCACGTTCAAGGGATATAACGTGTTTTAAGTGTAGAAGCAGGGGACATATGGCGAGAGAATGCCCAAATCAGCGTGTCATGCTCTTAACCGAGACCGGAGAATATGAGTCCCAAGACGAAGCAGAAGCTGAACCCCTAGACGATTTTGGAGATATTGAGTACCCCGACTCAGGAGAGCTTCTCGTTACAAGGCGTATATTGAGTACAATGGTGGAACCAGCCGAGCTGATGCAAAGAGAAAACATATTCCACACACGCTGTACCGTACAAGGCAAGGTATGTAACCTAATCATTGATGGTGGGTCTTGCACTAACGTGGCAAGTACTCATATGGTTGATAAACTTCACCTTGAGAGGACTAAACACCCACGGCCCTATAGGCTAAGGTGGCTCGATGACAAGGTTGAATTAAAAATCAATGAGCAAGTTGTTATACCATTCAGTATAGGAAAATATCAAGATAGTGTTGTTTGTGATATAGTTCCTATGCAAGCCGGCCATATATTGTTAGGTAGACCATGGCAATTTGATAAAGAAACTAAGCATGATGGTAGAACTAATTTTTACATATTTATGCATGATAAAAGAAAGGTTAGCTTAGCACCTTTATCACCATCTCAAGTGCATGATTTACAAATGCAAATGGCTAAAGAAAAAGAAATTAGTTCTAAGTCTAATTTTCTTATTCAGCCTAGCCATGTGAGAAAGGCTATAGCTTCTAAACACACAATGCTACTAATGATCTTTAAGGAGGCTTTGAGCGCAGGTTATGGAGCATCCGAGTTACCACCCGAGATCATTAATTTACTTGACACTTTTAAAGATGTGTTTCCAGAAGAGATGCCTGAAGGGTTACCACCCTTACGAGGGATTGAACACCAGATAGACTTCGTTCCCGGAGCTGCTCTACCAAACAAGCCAGCTTACCGTATGAGCCCGGAGGAGTCTAAAGAGCTTGAGAAACAAGTCCAAGAGTTGCTAGACAAGGGCTACGTGAGGGAAAGCCTTAGCCCATGTGCCGTACCGGTCTTACTCGTACCAAAGAAAGATGGTTCTTGGCGGATGTGCGTTGATTGTAGAGCCATCAACAACATCACCATCAAATACCGCCATCCCATACCAAGGTTAGATGATATGCTTGATGAGCTTAGTGGTTCTGTTTTGTTCTCTAAAATAGATTTAAAGAGCGGATACCACCAATTGAGGATGAAAGAAGGAGATGAATGGAAAACAGCCTTCAAAACCAAGCAAGGACTATACGAGTGGATGGTAATGCCATTTGGACTCACCAATGCTCCTAGTACTTTCATGCGCCTCATGAATCAAGTGCTTAGAGCATACATCAGTAAGATTGTTGTTGTATACGTTGATGATATTTTAGTTTACAGCAAAAGCTTATCTGAACATATGACACATCTTGAGCTTGTTTTAAAGACTCTTAGACAAGAGGGGCTTTATGCAAACTTAAAGAAGTGTTCATTCTGCACTAATCAATTAGTTTTCCTAGGTTTTATTGTAAGTTCGCAGGGATTACAGGTTCATAAGGAGAAAGTTAAGGCAATTCAGGAGTGGCCAGCACCAACAAACGTTAGTCAAGTGAGAAGCTTCCACGGCTTGGCTAGTTTTTACCGGAGGTTTGTTAAAGACTTCAGCAGTATAGCAGCTCCTCTCACGGCAGTAGTCAAGAAGAGTGTTGGATTTACATGGGGAGAAGCACAGAAGCAGGCCTTTGACACCTTGAAAGATAGGCTAACCAATGCACCCATGCTGATCTTGCCTGATTTCAACAAAACGTTTGAAGTGGAGTGTGATGCCTCGGGGATAGGCATAGGAGCAGTGCTAACTCAAGAAAAGAAGCCAGTAGCATTTTTCAGCGAAAAGCTAGGAGGAGCTACACTTAACTATGCTACCTATGACAAGGAGTTATACGCTCTTGTGAGAGCCTTGGAGACTTGGCAACACTATCTGATTTCAAGAGAGTTCGTAGTCCACACTGATCATGAGACATTGAAGCATCTTAGAGGACAAACTCACCTTAAGAGAAGACATGCTCGTTGGATGGAGTTCATAGAGACCTTTCCTTACATCATCAAATACAAGAAGGGCAAAGACAACATTGTAGCGGATGCCTTGTCACGAAGATACACTCTAATATCTACAATGGAGAGCAAAGTCATGGGGTTCGAGTTTATCAAAGAGCTTTACCGTGAAGACAAAGATCTTATGGAGATATTTGGCGAGTGCAACAAAGGAGCGTTTGGAAAATTCTACATCTTTGAGGGGTTTCTGTTTAGAGAGAAGCGGCTGTGCATCCCCCAATGCTCATTACGAGAGCTTATTGTATGTGAAGCCCACAGAGGAGGGCTAATGGGGCACTTTGGGGTTGATAAAACCTTAGCCGTGGTCAAAGAGCATTTCTATTGGCCACACTTGAAGAAGATGGTTGAAGCTCATTGTTCAAGGTGTGTTGTTTGCAAGAAAACCAAGTCCAGAGTTCAACCTGATGGCTTATACTTACCTCTACCCATTCCTACAGCACCATGGGTAGATATCTCGATGGACTTCGTGTTAGGATTGCCCAAGATCAACCACAAAGACTCTATATTCGTGGTGGTGGATAGGTTTTCCAAAATGGCGCATTTCATCCCTTGTGCTAAGGTGAACGATGCAACACAAATGGCGGATCTATTCTTCAAAGAAGTAGTACGGCTACATGGAGTTCCAAGAACCATAGTTTCAGACCGAGACAGCAAATTTTTGAGTCATTTCTGGAGAACCTTGTGGAAGAAGTTAGGGACTAAACTCCTTTTCTCTACCACTTGTCACCCACAAACGGACGGCCAAACAGAGGTGGTGAACCGCACACTTTCAGCATTGTTAAGGGTGACCATTGGAAAGCATATGAAGAATTGGCTAGAGTGTATTCCCTTCATTGAATTCGCCTACAACAGAGCTCAACATTCCGCCACCAAGATGTCACCATTTGAGGTTGTATACGGTTTTAATCCTACCACTCCTCTTGATCTAACTCCTTTACCTCCAGCAGAAGCGGTCAGTCTAGTTGGCGAGGAGAAAGCTAAGTTCATCAAGAAGCTACATCAGAAAGCTCGAGAGAATCTAGAGAAGAGGATGGAGCAATACACAAAACAAGCCAACAAAGGAAGAAAAGAAATGGTATTTCAACCAGGAGAATGGGTTTGGTTACACATGAGGAAAGAAAGATTTCCTGACCAAAGAAGCTCAAAGCTCAAACCAAGAGGAGACGGTCCATTCAAAGTCTTAGAAAGAATCAACAACAATGCCTATCGTCTTGAACTTCCAGGTGAGTTAAACGTATCATCTACCTTCAATGTTACTGATTTAGCTTCTTTTCTTGCAGATGAAAACATTTTGGGGTCAAAATCTATTCAAGAAGGAGGGAATGATGAGGACATCTCAACCGAACCTGACTTAACCGAGCCTCAAATGCAAGAAGTGGACATACCGGTTCCAAACAAAGACGTGATCACAAGACAACGGGCCCGTGCACTTCAAGACAAGTACAACCAAGCCATTTTACGAGCTATAGGTGATTCTAAAGAGGGAAGCCCAAGTTTAATAGCTAAAGCTGCATGGGATGATACTAGAGACATCTTAGAAGCTACGGACCCAACAAAGATTCAAGAAAGCTGGCCTTTATTATCAAAAGAAGTCCACGCCAATCTATTTGTCATTGCTACACTTGGAGACAACACTTAAAGCTCAAGATCACGGTCAAAGGAGTAATACATTACACTTATACACACCAAAACCAAAGAAGGTAAGTCTTTGTTATCAATAATTCATATTATTCTTTTTGACTAACATTTTATGTTTTCTCTTATGATTGTTTTTAGACAGCCAATAATTCTTTTCTTAATTAGTTAAGACATTGTTAGCCACCATTTTCGCATTTTCATTCCAATAATGTCGTTTTCATTTAAATGTAATTTTGCTTCAAGTCCCCTAAAAGGGCATAGCTGTTTGGACCACTATATAAGGTTTCTTCTCACAGCCTTATATTTTTACCCTGATTTTAATAAAGAATCAAAATTTTTTCACAAAGTTTGTAATCAAAACTTGTGTTATTCTTCTTTGAATTTTGTTGAGACCAGCCCTCCAAAACCAAAGAGAAACCGTGTTGTATCAAAGGTCCCCTCCATCACCTTTGTGGTACACTTCGACCCACCCGGCCAACCCGTTTGATCAGTCTACCCACCGGTCAGATCGTCTGAGTTTCTCGACTTCTCGACCAAAATCATCGTACCGCCATTGTACCACGTCCGTTCCGCGTTGCAACCCCAGCGTCACGTTACCGTACCACTCTCGTCCCACATTACAGCGCTATCGTTCCATCACCGTACCACCCGTACCACCCTCGTCCCGCATCACGACGCTCTCGTCCCATCATCGTACCACTCGTACCACCTTACCGATCCACTATTACGTCAACGATCCACTAGTCCCATTCGTACCGTCTCGTCCCAAACCTTGACCGTAGCCTGAGTTCCTCGGCTATTCAGTCCAGACCTCGTTCCTCATCCCTTCCTAACCGGTGCTTGTATCACTCTTGAGTCAAAAATGTACATCCAATATAACTGAAAAGAAAGCAAAGTTGATGGAACAAATAAGTAGAACAGATCGTGGAGAGTTAACAGAAGTAAAATAATACAAAATGTGTGACGCCATTTTGATTCCGCGGTTACATATGTCGAAGATGGTAGACGATGCGGGGAAGCAGAGAGCTGTTAAGTTGGAGAAGCTAAGGTGAGTTTTAAGATGAAACCGATGATGAGTCTGATGAGCCCAACCATAGCTGCCAACTTTAAGGATAACCCACTCGCGCTGCTCATCTGGTTTCTTCTTCTCTTCACCACCTCCTGTGATGTCATTTAAAACATGTTTAACGATATCCTTTTGTTACTAACCACTGTTTAAGTTCACATGATTTTGTCTAAATGGCATTGATTAAATCTATGATATGCTATCATATATCAAGGACAAGTTAATGAGGGCGTACCAATTCATGTTGCAGCTGTTGTGTTTGCTTAACGGCTGCATCTCGCTCTTCCTTCAGCCGTTGTATAGTCTGATCATTCATATTGATTGTAGAAACGTTAGAGGAAGAATTAAAACAAGGCAAGAACTAATCTCTCTTAAGGTATATGATGTGGTCACTTATGACATTCTGTGAGGTACATTGTTCACCTTATGAAGACAGGTATAATAACAGAGACAATAAAATAAACTTAAGCTTTTGTAACTCGGCGTGTGTTTTATAGTGTCCCAACCAATCAACTCAGTCTCACATTACAATTTCTATTGCCTGAAACCCACAAGTGTGGATACTAGATAGTCTGGGATTTGAATGAAACTAGTTTGCCTAGTTATCACAAAATAAAGATGACTGTTTATAAGGTGCCTATCTATGCGAGAGGTTCATAGTATATATTGGTATCATCCTACTCTAAGGCTTTTGCTATGATCATAATTGGTTACCGCACAAGACCAAACAATGCGGTTAAGATCATTTTGGACCTATAAAAAAGCACATATGATTCAAATTTTGGACCTATTTTTTTTTCACTTCAAAAAGCTTGATGAAAAAAAACCTTTGGTATTTTTTATTGCAATCGCAGGTTTGGGATATGCTTAGCAATGATGAAGTTGTATCGCTAGTATGGAGTTCCAGGAAAAAGCAATCCATCGCCGCTAAATTGGTGGCGGAAGCGGCTGAAGCTGCTTGGAAGAAGAAGCTTAAATCTAAGAAGATTGATGATATTACAGTAATATGTCTTTTCTTACAGAACAAGGAACAACCAAGAGCATAGTTGTCACACTACGTACTGCCAAATCAAGCACTAATCTTCGAAAGTTCCAGTATAATCCGTAATGTGAATGCTGATGCATCAAGATTCTTTGTAGTAGATGATATATGTTCAGAGCCTTTTAAGTTGGACTTGGAGTCAGTTAAATATGATCAAGTGCTTTTTCAAAAAATATGATCAAGTGTTCAATCTATAGTAACAATGCCTTGTATTAAGAAAGAGTACATTGATCCAACGCCACATTTATCACGAGCCTCACCGCTCACAGGCACCGCATATCCTATAAATTTTGGCCGCGTGGTGCTTTATCACATGAAACCTGAGACTCACTCTCCGACGGACGGAAGAAAACAAAACCAACCAACATTTTGCTTTTGTTTAATGGTTAATTAATCTTGGGAGGTGCTTTATCATCCAAAAAAAATGTGATCTTTAGTAGCCATTCAAGTGAGGGGTGGATATAAAACGGAAGGTACCCAGTGATTTGATGTGCCCCAAGACCCCAATGATTTTAGCCGTAATCGGCTCAATTGCTCCCGCTCCTTTTCATTACTTTGTGGTAACTATTTATGTTCATTTTCTATAAATTTGAATTATTTGGTAACCCATCGTTCACACTTCTCTATGAATTTCGTAAGTAATATTAAATAATTAATGAGTTAACATATCAATTCACACAAGACAACATCAGTTTTTATTTTCGGTATGGATTTCCGACCATTTTAATCATCAAAATGTGTATTGACTTCATAAAAAAAATCGATTTAAAAAGACTGTTGGTATTTTGTCGAAAATTTCCAACAAATAAAATATATTTGTAATTTATCAAAAACATTTATGAAATATCTTTAAAATTATCGATAGATTGGTTTCGTCAGCAACTTCATTAAAAATTATAATTTAATTCGGTTTAATTTAGATTTAATTTAATTTATAATTACAAACTGTTTTATTTAATATTTTAAAATTTTCATTAGAATTCAAAGAGATTAATATTTTTATTTAGTTAATTATTTCATGGTTTTTGGATTTCATCAGAAATTCTTGATTGATTTTTGATGATAAGAACTTTTTGTAATTTTTTAAAAATAAAGCATTTCGCTGTATACAAATTGAATATTTTGTTTGTTTTAAAATTACATCTGAAATTTATCCAAACAAAAATTGAATCTTTCATATAGTTTATACAAAACAAATTTGAAATGCTCTCGTCATTCCCACAATTATTTGTAAAATACAACAAATTTCAATGAATCCGGATTTTTAAGGTTCGAATTCTAACAAATATTTTTTTTTGTTAGTAAATGATCGAAAACATGTTTTCAATGATTTTGCAACGAATATAAACATCGGCATTTAAGGTGATATCATCCAAAACAAGTACTTATCGATTCCTTTTTTCTTTTCATCAATAATTTTTGAATTATGTAAAATTATCTAAACAAAAATGATTTTTACAATGAATATTTCAGTTTGTTTCGATGGGAAGAAAATGAATATTTACGTTGAACTTGAAATTTAGATGAAAAGATTGAGGTTCCGATGTTGAATTTAATTAAATAACGCATCTCCCATATGTTTGCCGATTTAACCTATTGTTTTTTGCTAGTAATATTATTTTTTGTAATCAAAATACATCTAATCGTATACTATTTAGTATTTACCAAATTAACTCCAAGAAATGAGAGTAATCAACCATTCATAGTTCATAAAGTGAACAATGACCCAATGAGCTACAGTATGCTTTTAAAAAAGAGCTACAGTAAGTGAAGGCTGAAGCCACGAGATTCATCTCACAAACCTCTCCCAAAATATCAGGAGACTAAGGCAAGAAAATGCATACGCCACTCTTGTTTACAAATGCTATATAAACCCTAGATTGGCACAATGTTTCCATACAACCAAAACAGAAATCTACAGATTAACCATGAAGAAGCTTCTTGGACTCACCTTAGTTTTTCTATTAGCTGCAGTGACTTGCAAAGGTCAAGAGATTACTTGCGAAGAGGGCACGCCACCATATACCAAATGTAACAATACTGATCGTTTCAACAGAGGCGGTTTCCGAAAAGACTTCTTTTTCGGTGTTGCATCTGCTGCTTACCAGGCATGGAACAAATCACACATTTGTGTTGTCAGACCCCAATTTATGTTGACGTAAAAAACCATTCAAAAAACACTAAAATCCAACGTTGCATGGTTGTTTCTTTTCATTTCAGATCGAAGGAGGCAGAGGTCGTGGTATTAACGTTTGGGATGCATTCACTCACCGATACCCAGGTATGTTGTCTGCATGGTTGCTATATATATACAGAAAGGCTTACATACGCACATATATTGTATGTGACTATATATCTCTATACGGTTATAGTAATATACTATTTGTATACTATCAGAGAAAGGAGGACCCGATTTGTTGAATGGAGACATTGCTTGTGATTCATACCAGCATTGGCAGGTTAATTCGTCGATATATACACACACACATATATATATATATATATATTAAGTCACTGAATTAATTATCAACTACGTACGGATTGATGACATGCAATTGTATATATATAAACTGCAGAAAGATGTTGACGTGATGGCAGAACTTGGAGTTAATGCCTACAGACTATCCATTGCGTGGTCAAGAATCATTCCAAGTACGTACACATCGTACGTTGATCCAAATATACATATCGCAACTTCGGTTGTAATTGTTCAAATATATGAGCAGGAGGAAAGAGGAGTAGGGGAATCAACCAAGATGGAATTAATTACTATAGCGGTCTCATAGACGCCCTCCTCGCGAGGAATATAACGCCTTTCGTCACCCTCTTCCACTGGGACCTTCCTCAAACACTGCAAGATGAGTATGAAGGTTTTCTTGACCGCCAAGTCATGTATGTTATCTACGATGCCATGCTTTTAAAAATTTTATTTATGAATAAAGATGACAACGTACATAAAGATCTGATGCTTGCGTTAATGAAATGTTTCTTAAACTATGTACAGAGAGGATTTCAAAAATTATGCGGATGTGTGTTTCGAGGCATTTGGTGGTAGGGTAAAGAACTGGATCACTATCAACCAGCTCTTCACAGTGCCTACGAGAGGCTACGCATTGGGAACAGATGCACCCGGTCGATGTTCTCCTTGGGTTGATAAAAGATGTTACGGCGGAAATTCTTCAACAGAACCCTACATCGTTGCACATCACCAGCTTCTTGCTCATGCCACGGTCGTCGATCTTTACAGAAAGAAATATAAGGTGAAAAATTCTCCATTTTGTAGAAAGAAGTAATTAATGAGATTCTACTTTAACCATCATTGTATATATATGTCGGCGTGACCACAGTTCCAAGGAGGAAAGATTGGACCTGTGATGATAACTAGATGGTTTCTTCCATATAATGAAAGTAAAGCCAGCAAAGATGCAACGGAGAGGAGCAAAGAATTCTTCTTTGGATGGTATACATATATATATATATATATATATCAAAATGAACTGATTCTAAACATTAATATGTATATTTAAAATATGTATGTACGTATATACATAGGTTCATGGAGCCGCTAACAAAGGGTAGATACCCAGACATCATGAGGCAACTTGTGGGTAGTCGGCTTCCCAACTTCACGGAAGCAGAAGCCAGACTTGTGTATCGTTCATATGATTTTCTTGGTCTCAACTATTACGTCACTCAGTACGCTCAAGCCATTGGCCCAAGTCCTCCGGGCCAACTCACTGCTATGACGGACTCACGCGCAAAACTTACATGTACCACTCTTTGTTTCCGTTCACATATATACTATTATCTATCCGCAATTTTAACTACAACATATTTTGTGACCATCATCAATTATTTCATTTTATAGCTAAGGATGAAAATGGTAATGCCCCTGGTCCACCGGTATGCATGATCCACCTCTATTCTTTTCATAAGCAAATTTAGTAACATCCACATTAATCTTCCGGTATATAAATACACATATGCTTCCTTTTCCACAGTTCGACGCTAAAGGCACTTTTTACCGACCAAGAGGCATGTTAGACGTAATGGAGCACTTCAAAAACAGATACGGAAACCCTTTAATCTATGTCACGGAGAACGGTGAGTTCTATACTCATCTCTTTCGTCTATACATGTTCAGTGTATATTTCAAAGTTGTTCCACGAGTTATTGTGTAACTTTTCAATGTTATGACGGTTTAATTAGGAATTAGCACCCCGGGTAGCGAAAGCTTTGACGATAGTGTCGCCGACTACAAGCGGATTGATTATCTCTGCAGTCATCTCTGCTTTCTCCGTAAGGCCATCGAGTGAGTGGATGCTACTCTTCTTCTTCCAGTGGTCTCTATCATCACCATCGATCGTATATTCGTATTCATGCGCCTTTAATAAATGATTGTTCCTGTTTTCAGGGAGAAGAAGGTCAACGTGAAAGGATACTTTGCCTGGTCCCTTGGAGACAATTATGAATTCTGCGCAGGCTATACAGTCAGATTCGGACTGAGTTACGTTGATTTCGCCAACCTCACTGCTGACAGAGACCTTAAAGCATCTGGCAAGTGGTACAAGAAGTTCTTACAGGCTAACACCAAGGACAATGAGAACCAAGGTCTCCTCCGTTCAAGCCTCTCCTTCGAGAACGAGAAGCTCGCAGATGCATGAAACACTTTATCCCCATCAAGATCATATATCTTCATGTTTCCTTTTTTCTGCTTGCTCCACATAGATAAAGGGGCTCTATTAGCTTGTTCTACCCTTTGTATTAAATAAAATTCCTAATAAATGATGACCAATATTAAGAAAAAGCTTATCATCCCTATTAATATTAATCATCGTCTTCATGTTTCTCTCTTTCTACTTGCTCCATAGATAAGATGTTCTACATACTGTATTAAAACATCTAATAAATGATGATCTTGTTCTACATAGTGTATTAAAACTTCTAATAAATGATGATCTCAGATGACGAACAAACTTCTATTTTGATTTTGATATTTAATATAGAGCAAAAAGGAAAGTTGTGCGTTTACCTTGGGTTGTCTCTAGCCAAGTTGGTAACGTGAATAGCAATGTAACGAGGAAAGAAACATTTGGACAAGAGACAAAGAGGAAAGTTGTACGTTTACCTTGGGTTGTACGTGGTGCAAAAATATATATTGAATAGAGAAAAGAGCTGAAGGTAACCTTGTGTATAAATTCAGTCTTATTAGACTATCAGGCCAGCCTCCAATTGACATCAGAAAATTAGTGTGAGAGAAACTTTTTTTTTTGCTTTAGTGTATATAGTAGTAGATGGATCTGTGTCATCTATGCCATTGAACATTCATTGCTTTACATATCAAGTTTGGGGGAACTTTCTTGCTTTTCAAGGGAAGAAAAATGAAAACATTTCTTTTTTTCTCAAAAAAATTAAACCATAATCAAACTCAACTCTAGCTCCACCAAAACGCAATATAACATATTTCCTTTCTATAGAATATGGTTAGTATTAACAAAAAAAAAAAGTTAATGGCAAGAAAATTGAAAAAACAGGAAAATAAAGACATAGATATGTATATATGAATGGATTTCAAGAAGAGATTTGAAACTAAAAAAGTTGCTTATCCCCTTCACTAATAACAATATTGTATGTCTAATATTTGGGAGGGGTGGTTAATGAATATACCATACTGACTGCATATGTACTTCTTCTTTTGTTAATCAAATCAAAACTGTGGAACAGTTCAGTTTAAGGCCAAGTTTACCTAATAACAGGATCAACAACGACGCGACTAACACCTTTTCTTAGCCGTCGCGAAAAAGTTCTAAAGGTTATGCGCCTGTTCAATATTTTATTTGAAGAACTTTACAGAGACAGTGCAGCAAGGGATGGAGAATCAAAAATGCAGCAAATAATATCCATCATGCCACGAGGGCTATTCTAGTGCGGGATGGTAAGCAGGTGAACTCTGTAGACATGATTGGAGTGGTCCCAGAATTGAAATTGGAGATGAATTTTTGTACAAGTCACAGCTCTACCTGATCGGTCTCCACTTTGACGTCATGGGCAGGATTAGTTATCTGACTAGAGATGATCGTCTCTTAGCTACTAGCATCGTGGCATCATAAGGAAGTATGTACATTGATATCCTACAGCCTGACCTCATCATCTTCTCTGGCCAAGGAGGTAACATCAACAGCAAGGTTCAGAAGAAATTGTGTAAAAACTTCTCAAACCAACGGCTCCATACATGGAATCTAGCCTTGGCCAATAGCTTGCAGGACAAGTCTCTTGTGAGAGTGATAAGAGGAAAAAAACATCTGGACAAGAGGCAGAGAGGAAATGTGTTTGTTTATCTGGGCTTGTATTTGGTGCAAGAATAGTCCATAGAGAAAGGAGTTGAAGGCAACATTGTGTATCAATTCAAACTTGTTAGAGTATAAGGTCAGCCTACGATTGACATTAGAAGATTAGTGTGAGAGAATTATTTTTTTTTTTTTTTTTGTCTTTTCTTGTACATAGTAGTCAATGGATGTGTGTCATGTATGCTATTGAACATATACATATCAATGGTTGGAGATCTTTCTTGTTTTACAAGGGAAGATGAAAATTACATATTTTAGTTAATATTATAAAATTTTGGAATTATTGATATTATGATTATTTTATTTGAGATAAAAGTTTATTAGGAAGCAAAGATTACTTAAATAACTCTAATTTAGAAATTGGTATTATATAGACTCTCACTTTTATTCTAATTACTAACATATTTTCTATATCTATATTATCCTTTTTAGCTTTATTAGAAATACTATTACTTCTTTTTTCATCTCAGCAATAAAATATTGATATTTACAAAATTTTCATCGCATTTTTGATAAAAATTGAAAGTCTATTTGAAAAATTTGTCACTTTTTTATGACAAATTTATCACTTTTCCATAGATTAACTTTGAGTTTCAGATTTTTTATATATATATTTGAGTGACAGACTTTTTTATGATAATCTGTAGCACGAGGCAGCAAATTAATTTTTGTTGACAGTTTTAGTAGATGTCACAAACCTATCTTTTAGATTTTTTTTTTAATACATTATTTTTTTTTCTTGATATCAGATTTATTTTAAAGATAAATTATAATTAGTCTGTTGTCAGAAAAAAAAAATATTTACTAGACTAGCATCTATGTTATAGCAAACTTTGTTTCACTTAGTAACAGTTTTGTGATTTGCCTAAAAAAAAGAGAATTTTACACTTAGACACATTATTTTAAATCTATTTTACAAAATAGCACACTTTCAGCATGTAATACACTTTTAACATATAGAAAGACTATTCTACCCTCTTATTCTTTCACTCTTACATTTATTTTATTTTCATGTCTCCTTATTAAAAAAATCAAAACACACCTCCGAAACAAACAAAACAAATTTCTGTAAGAACAGAATCCTAGATTCTCGACTCTGCCGACACAGCCCCGTCTTAGCAATTTCAAGAATCTTGGGCAAAATATAAAATATAAACTTTTTATATTATATTAATAAAAAATAATTGTATTAATCAAAATAAATAAAACTAGAACTTTTTGACTTTTTATAATATAAAGTAAGTTGCTAGTTTGTTAAAAACAAATACATAACTAGTTTGTATAATATATTTTTTTTTGACATAATACTTTATTCAAATGCATTATTTCTGTAAATTGCATAAAAAATTCATCAAACATAAAAATATAAAAGAATATTAATTCTTTTTAGAAAAATAAAAAGTCATATATATCTTTTTTTCCTAACTAACTTTATTGATGCAAATTATTGATAATTGTTTCAAAATTTATAGTTTTTAAAACTTTCTTTTCAATGCATAAAAGTACAAGACCATTCAACATTTGTTGAAACATTGGTCTGATCTTGAAATTCTTTGTAATTTTTAATAATTGAGATGGTTGTTGTCTTGTTAACAAAGGAAATATTTAAGGTATAATCCTTTTTGTATAAGTAGGTTATGATGTCTTATTAATAATTGAATAAATCATGAGCCTTTTTATGTACTAAAAATTAATTATATATTCATAACTGTCTTCAAAAATATATTTTTAACAAATTTTATAATATATATAAAAAATTGGACCCTTAAATTTTAGGTATAATTTCTTTTAGATCATAATCTATTTTTTTATTAAATGGATCGTGGACCTTATTATGTACTATATATCAGTTCTATTTTTCCTTAATGTGTTAAAGAACACATTATAACAAAGTTTTCAATATAAAAAAAAAACAAAATTGGGCCCTTAAATTTTTGGACCCATGGCCATTGCCCCTCCCGTCATGCCTCAGAGCTGGGGCTGTGCCGACATAAACTACTGCAACATCCTCCGCTGTCAAAAACCACCGCAAAATCCCCCCCTGCAATTGTCTCGGGGACCAATCTGATTACCCAAACTCCATCTGTGCATTCCTCATTTCATCTGCTACCTGAGGCGTTAACCGCCGTTTTGAATCAACACCGTATATTTCTCGCCGACTATATCCTTTCCGATATTGAAGAAATATAGCATCCATTTTACTCTACTTGTCATCCATCCATCTGAGGCCTGTCCACTATTGATCTCCATGTTTAAAATCTTTCTATTTATAGGACTGGTTTCAAGTTTTGATCTCATCTATTATAATGTTTATTTTCACATCCATGTTCTCTGTAAAACATCAATTTCACATCCATATTGCTGTAACCGATGGTTAATCTTATTTCCAGTTTCTCTTAATTTTGCATAAATTTAAGACTTCTGTCCACGCTTTGGTGTCCACCTTATGGTGTCCACGCTCATGCCATTCAATTTCTCTCCGCATTATGGATACGATTTTACCATCTATTTACCATTATTTGCCTTTATCTATTTTTCTCTTCACCTTTGTGGTCGCTACACCAATTAACACCCCCTTGGTCAATTGAATTCTTCTAATACTTCTTTTACCGTTTACTCTACAGGTCCCTCAGATCTCAATCATCAGAGTAACATCAAATTGCCCATTCGCTTGTTTGCTTGGATTGATACCCTAATGCTAGACTGAATGTATATTTGAAACCAGACACCCTGAAACTGTTCGGCATGTATTCGAACATATAAGATTTACCATCACATCCATGTCTCCATCGAAAACAAAAAACATCCATGTTCACATATCCACACCAACCGTATCCATGCGAGCTACGTACATCCAGCCAATCTATTAACATACATCCATGCACATGTATCCATGCAGGCAAGTACACCCAAATATATCCATTTAAATTAAAAATTAATGTATCCATACATAGCTACCGTACACCTTCACAATGTATTAGTACGTCAACGACATTGCACACCCGCAACCAAAAACAAACCTTCCCCATACACAAAAATACACTTCCTTCCCGATAAAACTTATCCATATAACTATATCCACGCTACCATATCCATAGACACAATTATAATTGATATTCCTTGTATTTACATCATTTAGGGCTGTATTTAGTACATCTTTTGGTCTTTTTTTGCATGTTTTCCCTTTGCTTTTGTCCTATTTTCTTCTCCTTTTAGACGTAGGTTGCATTTAGAGTATAGTTTGCATTTTCTTTGCATCTTGGATGTTTTTAGGTGCTTTTGGAGCTAAATGGAGCTTGGAGGAGTTTTGGGAATGA